TGTGTTTGCACTTACTTAGCTCATCTCTAACACTAGAAATAATACAGTCCTTATCTGAGAGAGAAGACTTAAGGGAAGCACATTCCTGTTCCAAAACATTAAAATTAGACTTAAGTTGAACTAGTCTACTTGCTTTATCAGCATTTTCTCTAAGCATAGTGTCTTTTTCGTGTAATAAACTCTCTTGAACATTAAAAGAACCATTTAGATCTGTGCGTCTTCTCTGAATTTCCAGCTCAATTCTCGTCTCCAGAGCCACCTTCTCAAGCTGAAGATCGCTGACGAGGGACTCCAGCTGTTTAAGTGAGCCCAGAGAGTCATCAAATATCTTAACCAAACATGCAAAGTTCACCTCAATGTCATTAAAATTTACGTTTGAGAAATTAACTGAAAGTCTATTCAACTCATTGCACAAACTCATAACCATAGTCTCAGATGAATCATCAAGGTGCTGTGTGTCCTGCATTATTTTATTAGTAACAGATTCAGCACTTTTGGCTCGAGTCAGAACCATTTTATTGAGATATATTAAAGAAATCCTTCAAAAATAGAAATTATGCTGTAGCAGTAAGTTATGACAATTTATTAGTGCCGTCAATCTGTAAAACGCAATCTTGCATGACAAATACGTTTTGAGGTTGCGTGGGCCGTTTTGCAGGCGCAGATAAATTCACCGTGCAGCTCTTGAGTGAAAGGCAGCGTGGATCGAGGCCGGGAACTTGTCCCTCAGCTTGCAACCCTGCGGCGGCAGATGCGCGACTACCGCTGCGCAGAAGTACTCAACCTGTAGCTGATATGTCTTATCAGACACATGAGAAAAGTTTCAATACGTTTATAACTACGACTAGGCAACTTACAGCGTATCTACGTGCACAATATTATGCACGTTAAGTTCAAGTGTGAGCACCATAACACCAAAGTTCTTGCCGCGACTATTTTACCACACTTATTCGAACTTTAAAACGCAACGACAACAATCTCAACAATACAACACCGGCCAGGATGGCCAACCATTCTTCTTTGCCATTCTTCTAAGTCATTTAGCGAATTTTGAAGATTAAGTGAAGCTACCACTGGATCAGGATGGGACGCTAAAATAGCAGTATCGTCAGCAAAAGTGGCCACAGAAGTATTCACATTTTCAGGTAGATCGGCTGTAAACAGCGTATAGAGTACAGGTCCGAGAACACTTCCTTGGGGAACGCCAGCTGCTTGAATTGGGTACAATTTTGTAATGATATCTCCAAATTTAACTCTGAAATATCTGTCGGTTAGGTATGATTTGATTGTCATATAAAATGTATGAGGAAGGTTTAGTTTGAGTTTATAAAGTAGGCCTATGTGCCACACTTTGTCAAAGGCTTGACTTACATCGATAAAGACAGCTGTACAATAGTTCTTTTTCTCAAGGTCTTCATTAATTGTATTAACCAATCTATGTACTTGTTCAACTGTGGAATGTTCCCGTCGAAATCCAAACTGATGATTTGGAATCAAGTTTCTGTCCTCTACTTCTTCAAGTAGACGATTCAAGAAGAACCTCTCAAACAATTTGGATGTTATTGGAAGTAGACTGATAGGTCGATATGAACTTGCTTGTTGGGGTGGTTTTCCTGGCTTTGCTATCATGATTATTTCTGAAACTTTCCATTGTGCCGGGAAATACTCAGTCCGTATAATTGAATTAAAAATGAGTGTCTGGTATATAAATGCTTTTCTAGGAAGCTCTTTCATTACTTTTCCTGTGATTAAGTCGTATCCAGGGGATTTAAACAGTTTTGAGTGAAAATTTAAAAACGTTTTCAGGGAAAGCACTTTGCAAATTGTTTCCCCCTTTTTTCAAAACTTTTATTACTTTTTTTATTTCATTAACATTTGAAGTTTCATAAAATGTCCATGGCAACGCAATATCTTTGGTAGTTTTTTTTTTAAAGAGCATCTTTAGTGGAAAAACACAAAATCCTGTCACGACCATACCGGACGTTTAAATGAATATTAAAAATGGTTAATATTATTTTTATAACTATGTTTTGCTATAAACTAATTTACTTTTATGACCATTATACAATAAAAAGGTCACTGAGCTTTTGGTATATTTGGTCTTTCTAGAAAAAAATAAAAAATCTCAAAAAAATTAAAAATAAGCCAATAACATCTTTTTAAGTTTGAATAACTCCGAAAAAACTTACCTGAGACCCGAAAAATCGTTATGTTTGTATAGAGGTGTGCTTCTTTTGTGTATAAAACGTTGAAATATGACGATATTTTAATTTTTCAAATTTTTATGATAGAAATCATAGACGTGATGGTCAGGGACAAGCGGTACGGTCGTGAATTGTCTGGAATAATCTAAATCTTTCTAAACAATCCTTCAATTATACTGTTAGTTATAATAAAAATATGTGTTTCAATTGAACTAAACTGTTCAATTTACAATTATATTAAAGTTATTGTCACGACCAAACACACTATAATCCATAAGGCTGGATAGGTCGTGAAAAAACCCGCGATGGTCGTGAAACTTTGGTCGTGAAATTACGTGTTATTTGGCTCTGTTCTGGCGGTAGCCCTGCACCTCATGTTCGAGGATACAAAGTGGACTTCTAGGTTAATCTAGCAATTGAAATATCTTATAAACAAAAATTAACACCATGTCTACTTCATCGAATGACTACGCACGGTCATGGACACACCAAAATTACAAAAAACACAATCTTTCCTTTATTAATCTTGTAATTCCTCCTTTCAACTCGAAACGACCGGCACTACAATCCTGACGTACACCCCGAACTAGTCTCTAAAACCAACTGACTCCATCGACGCCAGGCATGCCACTGTCGTGCTCCAAAGTTGAAAATTTTTCCCAAATGGTCGTGACGCCAAATCGAGGGACAGACTTATTTTGTCATGGTAGCCAGTTTGCAATGACAATAAAATTAAAATATGCTCCTTTTTTGTAAGTTTAATAACCATTGATGACATAAAAATATGGCTTTGTATTTCGGCATGAATAATTAGTCTAAAAACAGCGTGAAAGTTGGAAAATGTACCCTAGGGACACTTCATGGTCGTGAATTTCGAGACTTTAAAAATACGAAAAAAATACCTAGAACCTATTTTAAACCAAATAAATGTGTGTAACATGTTGCCCCCGTCCCAAAAAATATTAAAACACATAATAATAAACTACAAATCCAGTATCTACGAAGTAAAAGGCCAGGGACATGAAAACGTACGTTTTTAAATTTTCACTCTAATAGTCAAAGATTTGGGTTTGCGTACTTATTAAATGTAAACAATCCAGAAATCCTGGACAATTTTATATATTACACCAAATAAGAAAAATGAATTGACATATAGTACTGTATTTCTTAAGCAATCATTGAAAGGACCGAGTTGTTAACTAGGGAAACATAGGAAAACCATTGAACGCCACCAAGTAAAAGAAATAGCGATTAAGTTCTTTAAAGAATTTACTATTCTTATTAGCCTATATATAATGAAGAACACCTACAATATGAAGATTCCTACAAACAATGAACGATGATGATAGCCAAAGTGCTACTATTTTTGTAGGAAACATATGGACCTTACTTTGTGATAATTGCAGAGGAAAGCCCTCTAAGACTAAATAAAACTGGTACGGCAAGGAAATTATTTTTTTTAACAGTCAAGTAATTTTAGAAGAATATGACAACATCCAAGAAACCTGTATTAAAACTTTTTTGAAGGATTTAACAATTATCTTTGACTATTAATACTTCTGTATCCAATAGTCAATGCTATTATTCACTTTTAAGATAAACAAAATCCATCTGAACAAAATTAAGGCCTTTTTTAAACTCTGCATTTTTTCTTGGTAAATAGAATTTACTTTATAACAATAACTAACCAAAGTAATGCCAATTGAAGCAAATAAAAATTGTGACAGAGGTGTTATGCAGGAAATCAGGTAGTTCTGTAAAAAATTTCATTTCTATTAAAACATGACTGAAATTTGTTAACATACTGGTGACAATGGGTGGTACTATGAAGACAGACTACATTATCATTGACGAAGATCAACATGGACAACCTAATGCGGCTATATGTGGGAAACATTTGTAGAACACACTAAAAACCACATCAGCTTTGGAAAATGATTAACTATTTACAAGAAATTTTGATTATGGAACTGTTATGTACATTGTGAGTAGTTCCATTAGTTAAATAATGTTTGAGTTGACTCTTTTAAACTCATCGTGAATTATGACGGTTTCGTTTTTAAATACGTTATCTGTTGTTAAATAACTCCTGTACTTCTTTGCAATTGCTCGATTTCGAGCAACATGTACACTAGTTATAATTTAAACAACTATAATTGGTAGTACAGTATACTTAATCTACATGTAGGAAGGAAAAAACATAGGTGTGCTATTCCCACAAATTCTGACGTCACTCGGATTGCAAACAAAAGATCACCTGATTGTAACTGTCAAATTACTGTAGTATGTATTTTATTGATTAGGTAGGTGATCTTTTGTTTGCAATCCGAGTGACGTCAGAATTTGTGGGAATAGTACACCTATGTTTTTTCCTTCCACCATGCTTAATCTACAACTTTATGACAGATAATTGATTTTAAATCTATTTCAATGATTATGAAATTGATTTTTCTTCCCGTTGCGAAACACGGGCACAGCAACTAGTTCACAATAATAACTGTAATAATATTCAGTTATCATTAATAAATAGTTGTAAGATTGTGTAACAATTTAAGACAATAAGATGGATGACTGTAAAACTATAAAACAAATTTTGTTATAGATGTTTGGGTATTAAGTTCTTATCTATGCTCAAACTCATCAAGATTACCTAAAGGTGATTGAAATCATGTATTTCTTACGTATAATATAATACACACTATGTTTGTTAATGGCATGAATTGTCCAAAAGCAGTTTTGTATCAGCTGGTTTTGGAAGAGCCGACCGAACCAAGTGACTTGTCAAAGGATGTCTGGGTTAAGGTACTAGGTGATACGTAATCATTGTTGACGTGTTGTTAGTTCACAAGTAAAGTGGGAAATTTTATGATATAAAAAACTGAGTGCAATTTATTAATATGGGTGGATCACAGAGTGTTGAAATTCCTGGTGGCGGCACAGAAGGATACCACGTACTTAAAGTATGCCATAAGAACTTATTGTAAATCCTATTTACACGGGCTAACCTAACTTATTCTCTCAAGTAGCCAAGTCGGTTTCTATTTTGAAAGACAAGCTTGGCTTAGGAAAAGAACATAAAACATATTGTGAATAAAACAATTGAGTAAAATATCAGTTTCTTAAAAATGTTAGTCTCGTCAATTGATGTTTGATAACCTTGCCTAGAATTTTAATCAACTACCGGTACTGCAAGATGCTAGGGACAAGCAATGCACTTACTTAGCCGTGTGCTTTATTGATTAAAGTTATCCCGTCATTTATAAAAGTTTTTAGTTTTGGCATAAGTTATAGGCTAGAAACTCTTCTTTCTTTTAAATATATTTCTAACAACGGAACCTCCCTTAGTTTTAATGGTTTTACAAAAAACTAATGTTAAGACTAATGCACTTCCTCCTGACCCTACATCTATCTATCTAGGCCTGACATAATATATAAAATAGGCAAGCACGATTTTTGTCAGCAGAACTCTTGCGTGGTTTCTTGACCAATTTTGTTAGTTTACGGCTCATTTTAAAGATCTCATTGAGTAGTGTTGTCATAAGTTATAAGATCTGAAATGTTTAAAAAGTCCCTTGGGCTCTGCCCAGTGGGTTTTATAGTTCCAATGTTAACTTTTTTGTTTACATAGGCTTGAGCTATTTCTTTTAACAGCTGGTAATATTTTTATATGTTAATTTTGTAATGAAAAAAATATATTTTTGTGTGATTGGGCTAGGCTACATGGCTTAACCCTTTCAGTGCTATGAAACGATATATCATTGTTTAAAAAAAAAACCCTAAGGGATATAGAGAGGAAGGTTATTAAAAAAAAAATAGCAAAACGGCCATTGGTGACAGACCTGCATGTTCATAGGATACACTACCAACCACTTATTCAAAAGATTCGCCCAATCCGATGATTTCGAGGTGTATGTCTAAACCAAGGATTATGAACACCTCACTATGCCCCAGTGTTTGTAGTATATCGCTACAAACACACAGGTCACCAATTATTTGCCACACAGGACGGGATTCGAACCCGAGCAGACGAATGCCACTGGCCAAGTGACACACGCCCTAGCCTTCTCGGCTATCTGTGCTTGAAGACTGGGGAGTCAAAACCCGGTATTTAAGCTGTCGCCACCGATTGCGAAAAGATGGCGCTGCAGATGGTTGTTCAATGCGTTACTAGGTAGCAGCACCAGCTAGTCACGGACTATTTTGATGCAATCTTTTAGTTTTAGTACTTAGTAAATGTGTTCCTGAGACTTTGCTGCAAAACATTAGTTTCCCTAAAATTGCTATATTACAATAACCTCGTCCAACTAAATCAGGGTTAAATTCAATATTACATTGTAAACTATATGTCTTTTGATTTTGTGAGATTTCGGTTTCAAATAATGCTATCAGAACATAAAAATTTATAGGAAAACCAGGAAAATTACAACAAAAACTAAGTTTTATTTGATGTTTACTACAAATACCGGGATTTATCTTTCTTATATATATTCTTATTGTGTTATTATTCAAAATTAGCCTAATTAATAAAATAGTGACAACATGACAGTTAAAATTCAACAACGGGTAATGGAATTAAAAGGCAAACAAAAACGTCTTACAAAATATGAATTATTGGCCTAGCACTGAAAGGGTTAAAGTTATTTTTTAGATTTTATTTTACTATTGCCTGCTTTTTTATTTATTTATTTCCCCAACGGATTGCACCTTTTTACAAAATATGTGTATACAATATGAGATGGCATTTGCAATATTACTAACTAGAAAAGTAATAACAATGGTAATAACAAAGTGATAATAAATAGTAATAGCAAGTAATAACAAATAGTGATAACAATAGTAATAACAAATAGTGATAACAATAGTAATTTTTTAATACACATTTCTTTAGTACTCTTCTCTGCTTTTTAAAGACATGCCACAGCGTCGCCGGACATTATTACCGGTAATTGTAGCAGTATTTAGCTAGAGTTTCATGTTGACTCCATGTAACTTACTGATTCTAAGAATTAACTTGCGATCTTCTGACACTGTGTTCCCTTTCGTGTTGGAACGGACAAATTTCCCTATTATCCTGGCATTCGCAATCACCATCAATAGGGCGCAAGGACAGTCAATTGGCAAATTTGGAGTGTATCTTCCGAAATCTGTAATTGGACACGGCCAGCTCTACGTTGCCGCCAGTAGAGCAAGGTATTTTGCTGGGCTACGGTTCTTTATTAGCCTACACCAGTGAGCGCATTTGTTCTTCCAGGTTTGTTTTAAAATACAAAGCTTTGGCGATAACTTAGAATTGGAGGAAATCAAAGAGAAATGGAGACTAATAATGTGCTTAGGCATATCGGTTATATACAATGCCGTCCTACAGTAGGTATGTTGAAACAGCTACATGTGACCACGGGACGTCCTAGTTTTTTTTTAATTCATTAGTTATAGGCCTGGCCTAACCTTTGCACATATATATTTACAATCTGTGTCAGATTGATTAGGCTAGTGAACAGAAGCTCTAGAGGTGCTTAAAAGTTGTTTCAACAGAAAATTAATTTTTGGTTAGCTAGTATATTGATGATTTTTTATATTTTTTATTTATTTTATTTTATTTTACATTCCAACGGACAGCTCCATTTTGATATTTCGTACAAATCAGTGCAATACAAACAAGACTTTCTTAAAGCTAGTTACAATAAAGCTATATACGATGATAGTAACCTTCCGTTTTCATGTATTTCTTAGTCGTACAATTACAATATAAGTTACCCTAGTTGACTTTTAGCTGGCCACGCATGAGTTTGTAATATTTTCTTTACATCCACAACACATTTATTGCCAAAGGCCCTTTCTGGGGGTCTATAGACATACCATTTTCATGTTTGGAAGTTTTTTGTTCAACTGCTTTCCAACAGCCAAAGCAACATTAGTACTGGTAATTTTTGGGAATTTCCCTTTAGGGAAGTATCTATTACCGTAGGTGGCACGGTAAAACCATTGACTTTATATCTAAAACCTAGGCCCGAGACCGATTTACTTTTTCATTTTGATGTCCCCAGAGGCCAAAAAAGCCAACTGTTAAAAATGTTATATGTAAACTATTCACATTTTATTTGTTTTGTTCATTTTTACATTTCATTAATTTCTCTCTGCTTGAAAATGTTTGTAGCCTATTAAACAAAATTCCGCACTGGTTTTTCATGTTTCATTTTAATAATTCTCTCAAGATATCCTCAAGAACAATAATATAGATTTAAATATACATATCCCTAAATGACATAACTTGAGTAAGTCCGATTTTGATAAAGTTTGGTTTAAAGGTGTAAGGCGGGATAAACTTGAAAGAGTTCGCGAACCAGCATGATCGGACCATGAGACTGGATTTTACGGGGGGGTGGGGGGGGGGGGTTTATGGGATAAAAATTGGTTTTTCTTATCATTGACCCTAAAAACACAAAATTTCACAATTTCTCCCTAGACCATTATCCTATGAAGAGCTTCAAAAACTCATTTGCTATTGAAAGTTGTAGTGGCAATATTAGACCAAACATAAGTGAAGGAATAGGTGTTTATGTATTTAACGATCGAGTAGGTACGGTCAAGTTTATTTTTATGACTCAGGAGAGGCAAATAATATATACGCTTTTCAAAAAAAGAAAATAAAAATTGATATCCAAATTTTATAGCTACAAGAGTTATCCAACCTATTTCGACATATGAATCCATATTTTAACAACTTTGGGACAGGTATAAAAAGAGGAAATCCACTGAACAACGTGAGAACGTTCTGATGTGGGGCATATAATGTGACCACGAATGCTAGAAAAGACACTGTGACTGACAGACAATACGTTAAAATAGGTTAACCAACTTTCAATGATGTAGCTGCTTTAGCCTATTCAAAGCAGATTTTGGCTGTCCAGTTAGTAACCCAGATTTTGTGGGTAAAATATGGAGCACATGAAATGGTTGATATCACCCAAATTTTCAGGTTCTCTACGGAGAAAATTTGTTTGATTAGAGGGAAGTCTCAAATCAAAGAAATAAAATGACCCAAACTTAAATTACTTAACACAGGCTATCAGGAAGGCAACAGTTTTCTTCAATTCTCAATGTTGGAACAAATTTGTTGTAACATTTTTACTCGAATTGAAGCAGATCGTTTAGCGTTTAGCATTCATTAGATGTTATCAGTTAAAACTGAGACCAGAAATAATTTAGTTGAACCTTTTACAACGCAAATAGAGATATTTAAAATTAGTTCCTAACAAGTGTTTAAACACCTCTAAGATGTAACTAGAATTACTCAAATTTAAGCATAACGTTTTCCTCGGAGTTATGTTTAATACTATGCGGCTCATTGAGCCGCACGGGTTCTCTAGTAATAAAATAATCATTTTACAGTACTCTGTGCTTAAAAATAAGAAAAATGAGTTTTGGCTATAGGATTGAACCTTTGAAACAAAACAATTATGACACTTGGAAAATTCAAGCTGAAGCTATCCAACAAAACCTAATGGAATATGTATCTGGGCAGAAAAAATGTCCTGAGGATGAAGTTGGTAAGAATGCCTGGATAGTTAAAGATCTTAAAGCAAAATCAGAACTAATATTGATAATTTCACCTAGTGAATTGAAATTAGTAAAAAACTGCAAAACTTTCAAAGAAGTATGGGATTGCCTGCAGAACAATTACCTACCAAAGTTCTGGTCCTGCAAGGAAAGCCACATTATTAAAGCAGTTAATAGTTCATAAAATGAAAGATGGAGAAGATGCTAGAGATCATGTCAACAAATTTATGGAGATTGTTGACAAACTTCAAGAAATGGACATCATTATCAATTCAGACTTACTTAGCATTATGCTACTTTACAGCTTATCATCATTTGAAAATTTCCGGGTAGCAATTGAGTCTAGAGACACTTTACCTTTTCCTAATGATTTAAAAATAAAAGTAATTGAGGAGAGTGAAGCTAGGTCAAAAGACACTTGTACGAATAATGAAGATACATTGTATTGCAAAACAAAGCATTTCAACTCCAAGAAAGGTATTCACAACACTTATAGTCATAAGAAACAAGATGAGAACAACACTACAAAAGTAGGTTTAAAAGTTAAATGTTTTAGATGTGGAAAAATAGGACACAAAGCCAACAACTGTAGATCCAAATAAATGGGAAATAGTCTTAAAGCAGAGGCTGAATGTTTCTCTTCAAATTTGAACATTTTAGGTTCTACTTCATCTGATTGGTGTATTGATAGTGGATGTACATCGCACATGTGTGGAGAGAAATCACAGTTCAGAGATATCAAAAATTCAAACGGAATTTTGAAACTTGCTTCTAAAGGAAAGACATCTGACGTTTCTGGAACAGGAACGGTTTCGCTGGAATTAAAAAATTCTGAAATCATACATTTGAATAACACTCTGTTTGTACCAGACTTGGCAACAAACCTAATGAGTGTCAGTAAAATAACAGATAAATGATTTAAAGTGAATTTTGAAAAAGAGAAAGCTGTCGTCTAAAACCAAAGAGGAAATGTAATTGTGGCAGCAGAACGTCAGGGTGGTCTTTATTATGTCAAAAGTACAAAATCTATAATGGAAAATGAAAAATCAAACTATAAAAAAGAAACTGAGATCATAGATTGGCATAAGAAGTTAGGTCATCTAAACGAGGTTGACTTAAAAACAGCTTTAAAAAATGAATCTTTGAATGGATTAACCTTCAACATGAAAGACAAAATTGGAGAATGTGTTTTAAAGGAAAATTGACACAAACACCATTTCAAACAAGAAAGATTGCAAATAATGTAGGCTTGTTAGAAGTCATACATTCTGACATTGTAGGTCCTATGAAAGTAACTACACCTGGAGGAAATAAGTATTTTGGAACATTCATTGATGAACATTCAAGATACTGCTATGTATATTTTTTGAAAAGTAAAGACGACATTTTTGAACGTTTCAAAGAATATAAATATGAGGTGGAAAATCAAACAGGAAATAAAATCAAGTTTCTGCAAACAGATAACGGCAAAGAATATTGTAATGGTGAATTTGACAAGTTCTTAAAAGAAAGTGGTATAAGGCGAAGACTAACAGTTCCATACACGCCGCAACAAAATGGTTTGGCTGAAAGAAAAAATAGAACATTATTGGATATGGCAAGATGTTGACTGATAGAATCAAATCTACCAGGATGTATGTGGGCTGAAGCTATTAACACATCTAACTATATAAGAAATCGATGCCCTTCAAAAGCTACTGAATACTTAACGCCATATGAAAAATGGACTATAAGAAAGCCTTCAGTAAGACACTTGAAAGTATTTGGATCAAAAGTATTTGTATTAAACAAAGCTTCAAGAAAAGGAAAATTTTATCCGAAAGCAGAGCAAGGAATATTTGTGGGGTATGCAAGCAATTCAAAAGCATACAGAATTTGGATGCCACAACAAAAGCAGGTTAAAATTGCAAGAGATGTAAAAGTTCTTTCAAAAATGTACTATGAAAGAAATGAAGATGTAAATGATTACAATTTTCTTGAGCAAAATAAAATAAAAGAAAGTGATAAAAAAGATCAAGATTTTTGCATTATTCCGATCAAACAGAGCGAAAATAATGATGACCAGTCTGATTTTGACACTATATTGGAAGAAGAAAATGACAGTGAAATGGAAAATGATATTATTTTCGAAGATGATATTGAAAATCAACCTGATGATTCACCAAGCTCAAATGATATTGAAAATCAACCTGATGACTCACTAAGCTCAAATGAACATTTAGACACTGATGAAATAAGGGTATCACAGAAAAGGCTAAGAAAACCTCCTCTTTGGACAAAAGATTATCAAATGTCAGCTACCTGCAATGAAGATTCAACTTTAGAATCTTCAGAGGAATGGAATGAAGCAATAAAAGAGGAAATAAAAGCTCATTTAAAAAATGAAACTTGGGTGCTCGAGGATAGAAACAAAGAAATTAATGTAATTGGTTGTAAAATGGTATTAAAGAAGAAACTAAAACCAAATGGAGAGCTAGAAAGAAGAAAAGCACGATTGGTAGCAAAAGGATTTGTACAAAAACCAGGCATTGAATATGATGAAACTTTTGCTCCGGTAGCAATGCTAAGTTCAATAAGACTTATGCTTGGACTTGCTGTTGAAGATGATCTAAGTATTGATCAAATGGACGTTTCAACTGCTTTTCTAAATGGAGAAATAAAAGAAAAAGTTTACATGGAACTTCCTAACAACTTTGAGGGATACCCCCAAGAAATAATGGTGGATGAGAGTGAAAATGAAGATAAAAAACTATTCAACAAAACAAAGAAAATGATTACTGACTTAAAAAATTCTCAAAACAAAAAGGTTTGTCTACTAAAAAAGGCAGTTTATGGTTTAAAACAATCAGGAAGACAATGGTATATGAAGCTTGATGAAAAACTAAAGGAACTGAAATTCACACCATCTCAACCTGATCCTTGTATATACATTTCAACAGTAGGTGGATGCAAATCAATAATCTCTGTATATGTAGATGACATTTTAATTGCTACGAAGAACCAAAAGTACCGCAATTACATCAAAGCCCAGCTCATGAAAACTTTTGAAATGAGAGATTTAGGTGAACTAAGCTATTGTCTGGGGGTTGAGTTCACAAGAAAAAATGGAAGGATATCAATGTCACAAACGAAATACATAAATGAAGTCCTGAAAAAATTCAATATGACTGACTGCAAACCAGCTGTAACTCCACTAACATCAGGTCTAAAATTGGTTAAAGGACATGAAAAAGATTGTAACTACCCATACCAAAAGTTAATCGGTTCATTGATGTATTTGTCAATAGCCACAAGACCTGACATAACACATGCTGTGAGTTACCTGAGCCAATATAACTCTTGTTTTGGAAAAGAACACTGGATTGCTGCAAAGAGGGTTCTCAGATATTTGCAAGGCTCAAAGAACTTGTGTCTTGAATTTTTCAAAACAGGAAAGCCATTAATTGGAGCAGCAGATGCAGATTGGGCATGCAGTGAAGACAGGAGATCATACACCGGCTACTGTTTTAAATTTGGCGGTGCTGTAATTTCCTGGGAATAAAAAAAGCAGAGGACTGTAGCCCTGTCTACGAGTGAAGCGGAATACATGTCATTGACTGAAGCAGCAAAAGAAGCCATTCATTTAAAACAATTGATTAATGATATGGGAAGACCTCAAGAAGTCATTAAAATATTTTGTGATAACCAATCAGCTATTACAATGGCTAAAAACTCCATTATAGGAAGTAAATCTAAACATATCAGTATCAGAGAACATTTTATGCAGGAAAAAGTACAAAATGGAGAAATAAAGTTGAACTACCAACCCACAGAATACATGGTTGCTGATATTTTTACTAAAGGACTAAGCAAACCAAAACATCACAAATTTCAAAAGTGCCTAGGACTTTTACCTAGCTAAGTTGGGTGAGGGGGGATGTTGAATATTGCAACCCAACTCATCTAGTCTGGATTAGTGATGGACCATCATACGTTTTTACATTTAAAAAGAATGAAATATAGACTGTCAGCCGTGCTGCGGTTGCCATGGTTACCATAGGTTCCGGCGCACACCGCTGTAGTTTACGTAGCGCGTACGCCGTAACTACCGTGGTGCTCCAAGCGGTGTGCGCCAGAACCTATGGTAACCGCAGCACAGCTGACGGTCTATATTTAATTCTTTTTGTCTATGATTTTACATATGCTGTTGTGTACTAAATATAATTCAGTGTTGTGTTGTGCTTGTAAGAAAATAAAAAAGTTTATAACAATTTATTCTTTCATTAACTTTAATTTCACCAACATCAATCATGTAAAAAACAAAAAGTTTATGGTTTCAAATAATGCCCAGAATATTGTGTGAAAAATCATGTAATGTAGGAATAGCAAAAAACACCTCTTGTTGTTCATATAATTCAATCATGTCAACTAGAGCTCACAAGGAACAGTTTAAAATCCTGCATCTTTTTAATTAGAATGATGTGAAACATGTGATGTTTCTCTGAGAGTTTCAAACCCTCCAATTTTATATATAAATACTCCCATCTCTGAATAATAAAAAAAAAATTGAACAGAATTAGTATCTTTTGATGTCAGGTAGAACGTATTACAGCTTTTATTACTGTACTGACCGAAAAATCCTTGTTATAGGTCCAAGATGGATCCCCAGGCCAGGTTGCAGGTCTGGAAGCATTCTTTGACTTCATTGTGGCTATCGGCAATACCAGATTGGTAAGGATAAATGTGCTGTTAATACTTTCTGAAATGTACTATTAATTTTAAAGTGTAAATAAATGCATTAAACTATTTGAAAATCTTGATCCCGTCACAATTATTTTGAAATTCATAGGTCCTACTATCTGCCAGAGTCCCAGTCTTGGCAGTTATCATTGATAGAGGTTTCACTATAATTTGTACCTGGGTTTTGTTTTATATACAAACTATTTTAGGATTAGCTATCAAACAAGTGACAATTATTGGAAAAAGTTCATTTTGCATTACGGCACAAAAATCTTTTAAATGAAAAATAGGTCAACCTGCATATATCTTCTTATCAACTTAGAGAAAAATGTTATATGTCAATAATTGTTTCTATAATCACCAGTTGCAAATTGTTATGGTTAGTATTACAGGGTCACAGTGTAAACCTTGCCTGTAATTTGATTGTTTGGTTCCAGGACCAGGACAATGATACACTGAAGGAGCTACTGAAGGCGTCAGTTGACAAGGAGCTGAAGATGGTCGTGTACAGCAGCAAGAGTCAAAGCGTGAGAGAAGTAACCATCATCCCCAGCACATCCTGGGGTGGTCAGGGGCTGCTGGGTGTCAGCATACGCTTCTGCTCCTTCGAGGGCGCCAATGAGAATGTTTGGCATGTCCTGGTAAGCTGGATGGGTAAAGTTTTTTTTTTTTTTTATGGTGTATACTTGTATATCCTGTTTTACGTGGCATTTTTTAAGACCACTTTCGCAGTTCACCTCAGGATCAGGGGACTATCGTTTGGTGTGAATAAGAAGTTTCTCAATCGGTTCTGGATGGAGAAATGTTTTCCTGAAGATTGTATTATTTTAGACCAGAAAATTGTTGTTTACAAGTACCGTTAAAGTTAGCTGGAGTACAGTAAATTTACCGGTCAGTTTTGCAATAGGCTTTAAAGGAAGCTTTACTACAACAATGCTACCTCCCCAGCATGCATAGATTCACAAACCACAACTATGCACATACTGAATTTTGTTAGTTTAAATTGAATCACTTTGATTGGCGACCCCATTGTGTATAGTCGGGACCACATAAGTTTGCAGTTGAGGGGGGAGCCTATTTACTACTGATGGTCGGATCCGGATATCGGATTACCGGATCCGCCGGATCTGAGCTAGAACCTACGCCTGACCGGATCCACAAAAAAACGGATCTTGGGCTGGATCCGGTTTTAATGGATCCGATTTTTTTTTACTATTAATTAACACAATAGGTCTAGAGATGTGTGAGTATTCCAGATTTTGAGTTTGAGTAGAGTACGGCCTTGAAACTCAAGCTTATCTTCAAACTCGCCAGTTTGGTTTAAAATTGTAAAAAAAATCAATATTTGTTAAAATGTAACTTGTGTTTAAATAAAATGATGGATAATTTGTATTACTGAAGATTCTACGGTTATACAAATATTTCTTCAGTGTAGAAATAAGCAAAAGGTAGTTGTCCTAATCTATTTTTGAGCGGAGCGAGCGAAGCGAGCGAAGCTCTTATACTACACTCCTGCTTTTTTATTACAAATACTCCTCCTGAACGGCTGAAACGATCTTCACGAAATTTAACACAGTCATAGTACCCAACCATGGGAAGGTATAAATCTGAAATGGTACAAATCGGACCATAGGAATTTTCCTTACATGAATGCAAACTTTTAGAAATTTAACATGGGCCTTATGGGTTAATTGGTTGCCATGACATTATTTGCGAGTCAACACTAAAAAGTAAACAAGAGCCTCGACATATGTTAGTAAACAAATCTAACACATTGTAAATACAGTACAAAGGAAAAAATCGGATAAATACTAAAGTGCATATTAGTCTATTGCATGTAATGCGAAATTTATTAACAATCAGTTCTATATTGAGTGATTAAATTCATGCCGTTTTTATTTAATTTTATAATCGTTCTGTTCTTTTTAACAACAATGAATAGTCAACTAATTAGGCCTAAGCCTATGTTGTGTGGAGAAGGAGAATATAAAACGAGGTTATTAAAAACACTACAACATATAACTATGTAATAACAAATATCACACCGCCCTTGATTTGCAAGTAAATTTATAAAAAATGTAATGTAGCTAAAAATACAAAATCATTTTGCGAAATGAAATCACAACCACTTGGTTTACCGGTAAGATTTAAAACTAAATGGTGTAACTTAGACAATAAAATCCCAAAGGATTAACTAATATTGCCGTGTGCACTTCGACAAAAATTAATCACCAATTGAATTAGGCCTACTTTGCTCCTCTGTCAAATTCATGACAAGATATTTAACATCGTCGTTTAACCAAAATAGGCCAACCGGTAGACCTATTTTCTACCACCTCGCTTTACCCTGCGATACTAATTAACAAAATAGTTTTTAAACATTGCCATATAGTAGTCTAAATTTAAGTTGAAAAATATATAGGTACCAGATACTAGGAAAAATAAGGTTTAGGGTTAAGCAAACTGCTTATTTTGATGTTTTATTACAAATGTAATGTAACGTAAACCAATTCCTAAAGTTTTCACTTATTATTTTTAGTCTACTTCATAGTCGTATTGATAGGCCTACATTTTATTGCACAAAAGGGAAATTTTGAAAGTGGTCGACGATATATTTCTTACTTTTAACTGCTAAAATAAAACTAGACCTAAGTTATAGGCCTATACTTAAACGAATTGATAATTTAAATAATCGATTAGCCTATATCAATTATTTGCTGTTAGGAAATGATTACAAACATAAAGTTATTGTATTTATAAAAAATGCATTCTAATCCCAAAATTAAATTATAAATGGTTCAGATAAAAAAAACTAATTAGTGAAGTTAAGGGAAAATTATATTCTAACAAAATCGGAAGCAAAAAGTTATGACCGCCGACGAGTTTCGAACCCGGGTTCTCACGATCGTCAGTCGGGTATTTTAACCACTACACCACCAACGCTGTTTAATCAACGGTGTCGACAGGACATTTCTGTTCCGCAATCCCAGTAACTGGCGCGGCAACCAACAATGCCTTTAAACATGTGTTAAAACTATTTCCACGATCCCCGTGGCTAACCCCAACCCCTCACAACAATGTTAACAGTTAAATTGAGGTACAGTAATTGAATTGGTGAGTTTGATTTTGTTTTAATACCAAGAAGACATTGAAGAAAAATAGAGGAAAGGAAATTCTACATACAAGAGGTAATAATAATATAATAATAATCGTTATTACCTTTTAATAATACAGGTCTCACATAGGCCTACCATGATTCATTTGCAGTATAGAAATTATATATATATGTAACTTAATGCAATTTAGTGTACAATGATACAGCATAAATAACAGCATAGGTATTAACTTAATATCTATATTTTTGGCAAAGCCTATTGGTATATTGCTGAAACTGAATTCTGGTTTATACCACTTAATAGAAATTATATATATATGTAACTTAATGCAAGTTAGTGTACAATGATACAGCATACAAATAACAGCATATAGGTATTAACTTAATATCTATATTTTTGGCCAAGCCTATTGGTATATTGCTGAAACTGAATTCTGGTTTATACCACTAATAAAGTATGTTTATGGCTACTTAAAATGTGTCACCTATCTTACTGTTTTCTCTCATTCAAAAGTCCAATCCTCAAGTCCATTTAAATTTTTTTCCTAACTATGAAATCGTGAAAGTTTTACTTTTAAATGTAATAAATAGTAATATTAACATTGACCACTAAGCTGTGCGACATTTTGGTTACAAGAATAGCATATAATTTTGTCAAGTTTATAAGCCAGCTATACATTACTTTAACAGTTTACATTATCAAAGAAAGAGCGATTGATTATACTATTAAACAGCTTCGAGTCTATGCAAATGGTTTTATCGAGCCAAGACACAAGCTATTGTCTCCAAGTGTACTTTTTAATGAAGGATTGTTAAATTTTTCTTTTATTCTGTATGTTGATTCTTATTATACAGCTTATAATTATTATACCCTTAACTATTGGTACAAGTAGACCATTAAACATCACCATGTGTTAGAAGTTTTTGCCTGTTTTAATCAAGTTTGTCTTGAATTATGCGCTGATCTAAATTACTACATAATTTCTGTCTAATACACAATGTTTTTGGCAAATTAGTCCTGTTTGATTGTCAAACTGGTGGATTGACTCAATATGAGCTATAGCAACAACTGTTATGACTCATAAACTATTTCATAAAAAAATATTTAGAAAATAGGATTTTAGATACTAGCGCATTCTGTGACTGGCTCACACGACTACGTTTAAAAAAAATAAATATATTTTGGCAAAAGCTGGTCCATATAGGTGGAATGTAGGATGTCTACTTCTGTATCCAATTGTCAATTATTATATCTGATTGACTGTTACTAAACACTGTTTGAAATTAATATTTTGATTTTATTTACTATTTTGATTCATTAAGCTTAATTATGAGGGTTGTTTTCAAGTTAACTATCAAAATGTGTATGTTTTCTCAGGCAAATGCCACGTTTACGGAGAGGTGGGGCCAATCTTGGGCGACGCACCGTTAACGCATCCCGTCATGTTTGGCGGGCGACTACAACTGATGAAGAGTATGCTCAGAGGTTTAAGCAGAATTTGGATGAACTTTTGTATCAACCATGCTCAATCTGTAAACGCTTGGACATAGTTAGCAATGATAACTACATTTGTACATCATGCATCAAAAATCCCGAAAAATTCTCTTCGGCAAACAACATGCAACCATCAATCGTTCCTGCAGAACTCCAAAATCTTTCAATGATTGAACAAATGTTAATAGCTCGAATCCACCCTGTCATGCGGGTATACCAGTTTAAAGCGTGCAGATCATTAGGTCAATATCATTACAAAGGACATGTAATAAATGTTGAACAAGATATAACTGATATCGCTACATCGCTGCCAATCGCCCCTTCACGCCTTGGGATTGTGATTGTACGCCGCGCAGGAGTAACAGGTTATTCCGATTTCCGTGTGAGGAAGCAAAAGGTCCTACAAGCACTTCATTGGCTACAAACACATAATCAATATTATGCTGATGTTCATATAGATATGGACGTTATTGAGTCTTTGCCATTGGATGACAGTGTCGCTGATGAATTAAGATATATTGACGAAGGTGGTTTATCTAATGAATCATTTGACAAAGATCATATTGAAGAAACAGCAGTTCCACTAATTCCGAGACAAAGTCAAGAATCCGCTATAATAAACCAAATAAAATGGCCAAGAGCTTCACCTATTCCCATCAATGAATTTACACACTCCGGTTATATTCCACAAGCATTCCCCCATTTGTTCCCAAACGGTGCTGCAGATTTCCTTGACCTAACTAGGAACATCAAGGTTTCATTTCGAGAGTGGTGTGAGTTTCTTATGAGATATGAAGACAAACGATTTTCTCAAGATCCTCGATTCCGATTTTTCTGCTTGAATACAATGCAAAGACACGATGCCTGTCGACAGAGTGCTATATTCGCTAAAAAAAATGACTTTTGTGGTAATATAGCACAGTTAGAAGTGGGAGTAGCTAGAAACCCGTCAATAATAAAACGTTTGCTGACATGGGGTTCCAAAATCCGTGGCACTTCATCATTTTGGTACCAACGACGTTTAGAGCTTC